AGAGAGAGAGAGAGAGAGCAGTTCTAATCCAACTACCACCGACCCACCAAACCCTTCAACCTCTGAGCTTTTCAAGACAGAAAATCCTTCTCCATTGTGGGCGAATCCGCAACAGGTAAGCTAGTAGATATATTATCACATATCTATCAACTAACAGAGCACAATATGCACAACAAATGAAGGAAAAAGCAGACAGCATGAGGCACACCGAAGCCGTTCTTTTTCCGTTTTTCTATGTCAGTTCGTTATTTTCTTTTCTTTTTTCCCCTCTTTCCCTGTAAAGGGCAACAGCCTTGACACATCATTGAGCTGACCGGCCCAAGGCAATTCAGAATTGCTTTTCTCTGCTGAGATGATTGGACTTGACCTCCGATCTGTACTTCAACAGTTCCTGTATGTACCAACTGAGCTAAGCTCGTTGGTTAGCTCGTTGGTTATGCACTCTCTCTCTCTCTCTATCTATCTATCTATCTATCTATCTATCTATCTATCTATCTATCTATTTTTATTTATTTTTGGCTTTTTTCTCAGTTTTTTTCCCTCGGTTTCTCTTTTATTTCTTCTACCAGCTCCCCCTTCTCTTGTATGACTTCTGGATAAAAAACAGAGCAGGAAAGGTATGGATTCCGTACCAACAATCCCTCAGCCACAGGATGAGGAAATTGAAAACAGCCACGGGTGCTATGTATGATAGCGATGTTCTGCAGCCACAGTTGCAGGATGTGACCACGATACCCAGCATGACGGAGAGTAATCAACAAAAGGCTGAAAAAACAATAACATAGCATGCAGTGTATGCACAATATACACATGTTTTGAAGTATCTTGGTTAAAAATCATCAATGCAAGAATGAGAACAATCCCCATCTGCGCTAACAAAGAAGAATGCTGCAAAGGAAACTGACAATACCTGAATCTTCCGCAGCTTCCTCTGTAAACTTTTTCTCTGTCTTTTGCCGAGCTCAGGCTGCGCAACCTGCAGCGCAAAGTACCAATCCATTTCAGACCTCTCTCTCTCTCTCTCTCTCTCTCTCTCTC